GCTGTTTTGGAGCCCTCGGGGGCCTCCCTGACCTATAACAGGAGGGAGGTGTCTGATGCCTTTCATTGTTTTTTTGGGGGGGGCTAAATAATGTATGTTTTCTTGAAATGACATTGTTCATTCATTATTATACAGCTAAAAACAATTTTCTAGTAAACTAATGTAGTTTTCCCCTATTTTCATGTTTTATTTTTTCAACCTGTTTAGGAATGGAAATAATTTCTCAGGCAAAATTTTTGATTTGTGAAATGTTTTTTTTCTTAAATTGGATGAGAATCAGTGAAATAACAATCTCATCTATTCTTAATTCTCTAAACTTTTAGAAACATTTAAGGTTATTTAGCATATAATTAACTTAATGAGTGTTTCCTGCTGTTAAAGAGTAAAAGTATAATAAATGACTTTAATAGTGAGACTGAGATAAGGGAACTTAAATTCAGAAAATTTATGTAAAGATCAAAAAGAATATAAACTAGGACATCAAGTTAAAATGGATTTATTCTGTTTGGTGGTACTTTGTCTTTTATCAACATTTCATAATATTGACAGTGATTACATATATAAATCTTTTTTCCCTATGTTGTAGGGGCTGGGACCCAGAACATCAGACATGCTAAGCATGCACTCCACCACCAAGCTTTACCCAGCCTCATAAAACTTAGATGCCATTAGTTTTTTCTGGCCTAATAAAATTGTCCTAAATAGAGTTTACAAAACTTGAATAAGGTATTTCTTGTGCCAAGCATAAAGCCTCAGAAAACTAAATAAATTCTTTTCTACATCTTAAAAATGGGGCGTGGGCATTATGCTGAGTAACCATGCTAGGCACAAAAAGGGTATGTGGTGAGTTTTTCCATTTTTATGAAATACTGACAAAGTTAAAGCTGGGTTCTAGAAATCTAAAATACTAAAAAAAAAATGGAGCTGAGAGAATTGGTATTTATGTTTTGGGTTTGTGGGTATATAAACTATCAGAAGTCATCCAATCCTTTACTTAGCATGTATGCATTTTATGGCATGTAAAGTATACCTCTCTGTTTTGAAAATCATAATAAATAAGAATACTATAAGATGAATGACACTAGAGTTAGACTTGGGCTTCTATAGGAGCCCCTGTTTATAACCTGGGACAGGTTACCAGTCTGACCCCCAATTTCTATTTATTTATTTATTTATTTATTTATTTATCTATTTATTTATTTAGGCTGAGCCTCCCTAGGTAGCCTAGGTTGGACTAAATTTCATGTTATTACTACCTCAGTCTCCTTAGTAGGTGTGTACCACTGTTCTGTACATTCTACAGAATAATCTTGAGAGCAATGTTTTAATTTTGAATGAGTGAGCAGAATAAAAGATAAATATGAAGTGGCTGAGAGAAACAGCAAACACACTGCAATCCATCATCAAATCAGGCACTTTAAATACCCATCAGGGATGACTGAGGTGGCCCAATTAAGTGAGCAAACAAAATGTCAGCAAGTAGCATTATCAGATTCAGGGTTATACAAACATCTGCACAAATAGACTGGTCAGCTGGAGTTCCTGAATAAGCGAGTCCCAAGTGAAACACAGCATCTCCTCTGGCAAGGCTTCCCAATAAAAGATCAAATTGGGCACTTAATAGATATGTAGGAGAAATCAACTGAGGAAGCCCTGGAATAGTATAATGCTGGAGTTTACACTTGGAATTTCAGGCAGGGCAGAGCAGACTTCTTCATGAGTTTCTGTCTTTCCTACAATGTGCATTCTTGCATCATGGAATGAACAGTAGTAATCACTGTTGAAATAGTTTACCTTCTGGCACTTCTCAACAGGGCAGTATTTTTAACAGTTTGATGTTTTCCCTCCCTGTTACAGAGACAGGAGACCAGCCGGACTCAGGATAGGGGTTTTAGAAGTTCTAAAAGACTTTTGATATAAACAAACTAAGTAAAAGGACCAACCTTGCTTTCAGAGCCAGCTTCTCAATGGTCTTAAACAGAAGATGGCAGCACACCAATATAAGGAAAATTAGAGTACCATGCCCTGTTTTGCAATTCCTCATTTTAAAGAGGGATGCTTCTGGTGCTTTGATGGCATTCTAAGGAGAAGGTAAAAACTGTTAGTGTAATGTATTTTTTATAGGTGTGACATTATGTATGATGTTTTGTAGTGGTAGAAGCAGTAGATGTTACTAGACCCATCATGTTCTGCACCCCTTTGGTCCTTTCTGCACTATAACTGTTTTTAGGGGTTCCATTTGCATTGATGATTAGTTATACTTCTTGAATTTTTACCATGGTAGAGATAATAGATTGGCTTTAAAAATGTTACTAGCATATATTATATAAATGAATTAGCAGATAAATTAAGGGATTTAAGAATAAGGCAAAAGAGAAAACAAAAAACAAAAAAGCATGTTTGTAGCAACAAGGATAGACACCCCATACCCAATTCTGTGGTTCAGACCAGTACACTGGTGATGGAGTCCTCTCAAAAAGCTATCTGACTACATGTTTTGGGCAACTGTAAGACCATAACATCAGATTGGCAGCATATGGCTTGCTGTTTTGGTTTTGGTTTGGGAAGGATTGGTTTTCTTCTTTGATGAATGATTTGGAGGGTCAGCAGGCAACAGTTCTTGGTACCAAGTCTGATGACATGAGTTCAATTCCTGAAAACCACATGGTAAAAGAAGAAAACCACTTCTACAAATTGTCTTCTGACCTTCAAAGGTACACCACAGCGTGCACATTAAATAAATGCAGTAAACAAAAAAGATTTGCCATAGTGTTTCTGTTAAGGTTGCCTAATTAAATAATGATGAAGAACTAGAGGGGGGAATATTTCTTACTTGTGATTGAATTCTCTTGGTGACTACAACAAAGTCTTCTTGGACTCTGCCTAACGTTGACTGGAAAAGCATGTGCTAAGCATGTTTCTTAAAAGAGGCTTTGGTCCCATGACACTGGCTGGTGCCATTAGTCAACAAATTGATTTATTGAACCATATGAGTCTATTAGTGCTTATGTTTATTTATTGTACCATATTTTAGATGTAGAATTGCCAAGACTGACCTACTTATGTAAGTTGAGCTTAAGGTAGACCAGACTTTAACTTGTTTTGATGATACCATGTTGATAGTACCCAACAACTGAAGACATCTCAGGATGGTAGGCTAGGTGCAACCCCAAAGCTATGCACTAAGAAAACAACCTAGACAACTAAATTGGCAAGTGTGCTTATAGACCATAAGGAAAGGAAGCTATCCAGTGATTTGCTTTTATCTTTTAAATTATTTCAGATTTTCTCATATAAGAAAATGTGCTGCTTTTCCATAGTCTTCAGACTGTCAGTAGTATCCCAATTGCTCTATTTAGAAAGTATTTTAGACCAAAAAAAAAAAAAGATTACAAAATTCAATACAGGAAATAAAGGTAGAACTCTCCTCTACTTCAAGCTATTCTAAATGTTGTTGGCATTTTTATTTTTTGCCTCACGCCATCAGTTTTCTCCAAATGATTCATCTGACATTTCTCCAAAGCAGTAAAAGTAGAATAACCACAAAGGAAGAATTCACTATATTTGAGAGAGCATAAATCTTAGAAGTATGAAACACTCGTTCACCATTTTCATCAGAGTGTATAGTTATATTTGTGAAAGACACATGGATACCAATTGATCTTACAGAAACCAACATTTTGTTAATAACAGCATAATAAAGAATGAAAACCTTAATCTCTCTATCTTTACATTGTCATATACTTACTGTCACAGCTGAAAACTTTTTTAGTATTAAGTATCCAAATTTTCTACAAATATGTATTTCCTACTTTCCTGCAGGACACATTAACCACAGCATATAAATGACACAAGTGTGCTTAAGAATGATTAACTCTTTATACTTGTTTATTGTTTTATTAAAAAATAAGTCCCGGGAGTTAATTATTACGGAGTAGACCTGAGAGATCCATGAAGCTACAGAGAAACGATCATCTGCTCTCTTCTCTACCTTTTCTGATTGAAAAGGCCACGCATCTCCTTAGGCCCTTCCTTGTTCCTCCAGAACAAGGCAGAGTAAGGCAGAAAACTCTGTGGACTTCTCTGGCCAGTTTAGTGTGGACTCTGCCCTCTGTACCAAGGTCCAATTCCATTGGCAGTCTTGGAGTGGCAGTGCAAACAAATCTCCATCAACACTTATCTACATGAGGGACTATTCTAAAGCTGTTTCCTTCCTAGAGGGAGGCTTAGAAGATTCAGGAAGTAAATACAAGGCTCAGGAAAGTCTTGAAACTAAAATTCATAAGGATCCTGGCCAAGCTTATAAAAACAGTAAGCAGTTGCTTGAGTTGGAGAGTTTCCTGTGCTGAGATATCTGAAAGCTGTACATGTAGTTTGTGGGATGCAGGACCTGTGAGTCTTACCCATTCTGTGTGGGCTTTCCAGTGATGAAGCTGATTTTGTCATCCATGTTCCTGTAAGAAATCTCTTATGCTACATTGGGCATAATCATTTCTTTGGTCTGTTGTCTGTGCCCTGAGAGAAATCACATATCAAGGAATAATGATTACATAATGATCTTTTCTTTCATTTGCTTGAAAAGCAACAAATTGTTTTTGTTTTTCAATGATTAAAAAAATCTGTGATCTTGGCCATGTTAACTTTCTAATTTGAAATAAGGTATTGATTTCTGTCATCACAAATATTCAGGGTCCCCTCCATTGATTTTTGTGCTATAACAACTTTTATTGGACCATGTTGTTCATTGTGTGGCAAGAATGGAGTCTTGTACGATGATATATGGAAGTTTCAGTGGCCACAGAGTAGGTGTATATACCTCTTATCTATGAGCCTATGTTGAACTTAAGGTTTGAATTTCAAGTCACGATGGAATTTCCAATTTTTCTTCCTGATGACATCTAGATTTTAGATTGAAAGCTAGATTATAGCCAAATCAGGTTTTTAATTTCTTGAAGACTACATAAAATATCAAATTTTAAATTAAAATTTTATTTTGCTCCTGATAACCATCTATGAATGAGTACATACCATGTACTCACGCTGATCCCCAGAAGTTTGTAGAAAGTTTGCCCGGCTCTGCTGCTGGCTCTTGGATAGCAGGGCTTAGGTTCTGAGTCATGTTACACATGGTGCTGGTGCTACAGTCCCGACTCCTGAGAGGACTCTTCCAGATCAGAGTGCAGGATGCGTTGTCTGATAAGCAAGCAGCTCTAGGTTCCTGATGGACTCCACATGGTACTGGTGCTGGCTGGTGGATGGAGTGACTGATAGACAGGGGAATGGACTAGAATACATTCTAATTCTAATATTCATTTAAAAATACAGCCTCGGGGTGAATGAAGGAAGGAGATTAGAAGAGAATGGTAGGAGAAGGACCAAAGGGAAAAAACTGGAGTGGAGTGAGTACAGTCAAAGTGCAGAATATATTTGAAAGAAGATATCTTTAAGAAACCAGACACTTTGTACAATGAATACATACCATTTTAAAAAAAGGAAGCAACTGATAACATGAAGCATATGAGATGTTCTATCAGTGAATATTTGTTGTGCTTGTAGAGTCATCATGTGCAGGTATCAGTGCCCTTAATATATGTAGTTGTGCATCCTGTAAATTTTAAGTGGACCTGTAAGAAAAAGTAGTTTCTTTCTGTTTTAGAAATCCCAAGTAAATATGTCTATTCTGTTTAATTCTATTGATTAAAAGTGCTTTATGGTAGCTTAATACTCTTATTGCCTGCCACTTGTAAAAAAATACCATATGGTGAAGAGTGGGCATTTTCATATTGACTCATTGATACATTTGGCCATTTACATTCAAGCTGTCATCACTGTGCTGTGTGTGTGTGTTTGGACTGTACTGTATGCTGCAGTGTTGAAGGGGTAAAAGAAACTTAGTTTAGGATGACGGTTAACATTTTGTTGTTAGGGGATACTGAGAAAATTTTGAAACAGCTTTTACTTAACTTGAAAATAATATCACTAGGAAGTGATATTACTTTAAGTATATCTTTAAAAAAGAATATAGTAGTTCTTTGATTTCTACCATTGATGGTTCCTTTAAACATTAAATTTGAACAGTTAGAACCTACTAACTACACTGTTGCTTTAAAATGTTTATGATACATGTCTTAAGGACCAAAAGTAAAGACATTGGCAAGACTATTTTTTATAGTCAAATTGTAATAAGCTCTAGACTCTGAATAAAACATTACAAATTCCTACAGTTTTACAAAAAAACTCATGGTTTGACAGCTTGATTCCTCTGTAGGGTGATAGCTTCTGTGTGTGTGTGTGTGTGTGTGTGTGTGTGTGTGTGTGTGTGTGTGTTAGATATACCCAGTTCTGAGATATAAGTCCCTAGATTTAACAACTCATATTAGCTAAGGAAGGCATATTTCGGAGAAAATATCATTCATAACATTTTCACCATCAAAAATGCATTATTTTCTTAGATTCTGATAGCTAATGTAGACTATTGGGGATTTATTTCAGTCATTAGCATAGACAGACTGCAAGGAAGTTTTGTTTTGCTTTGAGATTTCTGCTAAGAATAACGGAGGAAAACAGAATAGCAAGTTAGAAGGACTTCCCTGACATTTGCCATGTTCCCTTTTTTCAGAGTATCTGTTGAAATCTGGCAAAAGTCAACTTTACCACACAGAAGGACCTTAACTGATATTTTGGATTTTTAACTACTAGAAATGCTTCGGATATCAAGATATCCCCACAAAGGTTATTGAGAAAGGATACTTGACTGTTGTCTTTACTATGGAAAAGATGAGATAGAGCCATCCCTTTATAAACCTAATATCAATGCAAGGGTTAGGGTTAATTGTACTTTATAGGGTTGGTGCCTTGGTTAGGGTTTCTATTGCTGTGAAGAGATACAATGACCACAGCAACTCTCATAAAGGAAAATAGTTAAATAAGGTGGCAGCTTACAGTCCAGAGGTTCAGTCCATCATCATCAGGATGGGGAGCCTACAAGTAGACATGGTGCTAGCTACATCTTGATTAGAAGGCAACAGGAAGTGTACTGTAACTCTGGGGGGTGGCATTTTGAGCATATGTGAGACCTAAAGCCCACCTCCACAGTGACACACACCAACAAGACCACTCCTATTCCAACAGGGCCACACCCCCTATAGTGCCACTCCCTAGTAACTTATAGGGGTCAGTGCATTCAATCTACCACAGTGGGCTTCTCTCTTAACACAGTACCTTTTGTGCCCCAGAAGAGATGTGTTTGAGATATCAAGTCCGTTACTATCTGCTGTAGAGTAGTGCAGCTCAGATTGAGACCACAGACTCTGAACTCCAGAACTCACACTTTTAACCACTTAGTTACTGTTGTAGTTAGGGATTCTATTGCTGCAGCAAAACACCATGACCAAAAAGCAAATTGGAAAGGAGATTATTCAGCTTATACTTCCATAGCACTGTTCATCATTGAAGGAAGTTAGAACAGGAACTCAAACAGGGTAGCATCCTGATGCAGAGGATGTGGAGGGGTGCTGCTTACTGTCTTTCTTCCTCTACCTTGCTCAGCCTGCTTTCTTTTTTTCTTTTCTCTCTCTCTTTTTTTTTTTTTTTTTTTTTTTTTTTTTTTTGGTTTTTCGAGACAGGGTTTCTCTGTATTGCTTTGGAGGCTGTCCTGGAACTCACTCTGTAGACCAGGCTGGCCTCGAACTCACAGAGATCTGCCTGCCTCTGCCTCCCAAGTGCTGGGATTAAAGGTGTGCGCCACCAATGCCTAGCTCAGCCTGCTTTCTTATAGAACCCAGAACCACCAGCCCACAGATAGAAACATCTACAATGGGCTGCACCCTATCCCATCAGTCACTAATTAAGAAAATATCTTACAGTCAGATCTTATAAAGGCATTTTCTCAATTGACGTTCACTCCTTCAAATAACTCTAGTTTGTGTCATGTTGACATAAGACTAGCCAGCACAACTGACCACTTGTCTACTTGATACACAAGCACATCATTTAAGCCACATCTTTCCTTTCTTTTTCATCCCCCAAGATCTCACATTAAAAACATAAATAACTTTAAAAGTTCTGCAGTCTTTACAAATTCAAACACATTAAAATTTCAGTCTCTTTAAAAATATCCAATCTCTGTAAAACTCAAAAATCTCTTATAAAAGTTCACAGTCTTTCATCATGGGCTCCTGTAAAAATCAAAATTAAATACCTTCTTCAAGGGCACAGTCACTAAGCCAAACAAGACCAACCTCGAACAGTATAAATCAATGTCCAGTTCTCTAGTATCCACTCACAATCTTCTGGGCTCCTCCAAAGGGCTTGGGTCACTTCTCTGGCTCCACCCTCTGCAGCACACAGCTTGTCTTATAGGCTCTGCTTCCCACTCCACTACTGCTGCTGTTCTTGGTAGTCAACCCATGGTACTACTATCTCCAAAATGTGGTGGTCTGCTGCTGCAACTGAGCTGCAGTTTTACCAGTAGCCTCTCATAGGCTCTCTCCTTGGTGCCAATCCTCCACCTGTTTTCATGATTCAATTCTGGGCCTTCAACTGCCACTGTGACTGCTCCTTCATCAATGGCCTCTCCTGGCCCCTCACAGTGCCAAGTCTCAGCTGCTCTCAATGACCCTTTCATGCCTTCAAACTCGGTACTACCTGGGTGACTCCTACATAACCAAGCTCAGCTGCCAGCACAAGATACAACCTCGGCTTCTTCTGGAATACGACTTGTGTTTTCTGACCTTGAAGAAACACTTCCCAGAAGACTTTACTTCAATGCTGGAGTCTTCTCAATCACTGCTAATGTCTTAGCCCCAGGTAACCAGCATCAGTTTTCCCAGTGATGTAAAGGTTTCACTTCAGTGTTGCTGGTCTCTTGTTAATGATGTCTGACTCTTTAGCACCAGCTGACCAGAATGACACAATCTCAATTCAAAATAGCAAACGGTCCCTTTAGAGTCTTTAAACTTCCCTCTGCTATGACATCACAAGCCAGGCCTTCATCCTCTATACTACTCTCAACATTCTTGTCTTCCAAGATCCCACAGAAATCCCACTGAGCTCTCAGCACTCCATTGCTTTTCTTGCCCAAAGTTCCAAAGTCCTTCCACAATCTTCCCCAAAACATGGTCATGTCTGTCATAGCTACACCCAGCTATACTGGTACTAACTTGTCTTAGTAAGCTACCCCAATTAAATGTTTTTTCTTTGTAAGAGTTGCCGTGGTTATGATGTCTCTTCACAGCAATAGAAACTCTAACTAAGACAGACAGGAGCTCAAACAGGGTAATATCCTGGAGGCAAGAGGCCATGGATGGGTGCTGTTTACTGGCTTGCTCCTCTGACTTGTTCAGCCTTCTATCTTATAGAAAACCCAGTCCCACCAGCCCAAGGATGCACCCCATACGATGGACTGCACCCTACCCCATCAATCACTAATTTAGAAAATGCCTTACAGCCAGATATTATGAAGACATTTCCTCAATTGAGGGTCTCTGCTTTCAAATAACTCTAGTTTGTGTGTCAAGTTGACATAAGACTAGCCAGCACGGTTATTATAGGTGTGCATTTGTGAATTTCAGCTTTAAAAATGCTTTGTAAAGAGAAAAAAAAAACTTGAGTAAGATCACCAAGAGAGTGAATACGAACAGAAAGGAAGAGACCTGCCTCCTGGACCTTTCACATTTGTATATTGGGGAATGAAGAAGAGGTAGCAAAGGACACTGATATGTGGCCAGTGCCAAAAAAAAAAAAAAAAAAAAAAAAAAAAGGTTAGGTTCAGAGAGGAGAATTCAACTCTACTCAATCCTGTGGGGATATTTCAATTTCAATTTGCACCCATCTGTGCTGAGGAGTAGAGTAAGGACATAGTCACATGCACAAATGACATCCACTTGACTAATTATTTTTATTGTTATGTTCAACATTAAATCACCCTGCTACATAATTAATAAAATAACAAGAAGAAGTGTCTAATCCTGATCCTGAAACTTCAGAGGACTACTCTGCTACTCCACATTCAGTGTTCTTAACACTGGACTGTGATTTATTTCTGCCTAGTTGTAATTGTGTAGAATATATGGAATACATACTGATTTGTAAAACTTAGTATTTCCTTTTAAATGTGTTCCTCTTCAAATATTTAAAAATAAGAATAAAGAGTATTTTAAAAATCAGAACAAAGCCAATGAGATGGCTCAGCACTTGCCAGCAAGCTTTATAACCTGAGTTTGATACCCAAGACCCACACGGTGATATGAGAGAACCAACTCGTGCAAATTGTCCTCTGACCTACACATCCCCATCACGGCATATGTTTACATATGCATAAACACTCACACATATGCATACACACAGTGAGACACACACTATATAAATTTAATACAATATTGATCAGAGTAAAGATTATAAAAGGTCTCAAGATCTCAGAACTTACCGTTAATGTGACATCAGGTGTGTGTCTCTACATAGCCTGTCAATATACCCACTGACTGAGTCCAGTCTGCCCTCCCTGAGGCAGGAACAGCTTTGCTCCTCTGTGGCAATCCTGAAAAGCCCCATCCACTGAAAAGCCCAGTCCCCTGCCTTCATCAACACTAGCTTCAGGTGTTGCTGGGTCTTGAGATTATCCTAAGAGCATTTCTTCTAAAACTGAGGTTTCTCCCAAGGAGAAGGGGAAACAAACTTCTAGAACCGATTGTGATTTTAATTGATTCTTATCAGGGCTAATAAAAAGATCTAGAACATGGGTTCAAAGAGATTTCATTGATGCAAAACGTAGATTTAGATATATGGGATTTAAAATTATTTTAAATTACATTTACAAGATCATCTTAATACATGTCAGAATCAATTCAATATTGTTGAGTTAGTTTAAAAACAATTTTTTAATCTATAAGAAAGTTGAATCCCAGAGAACTAGTAACTGGAGACTCTCCAACCTGTTGGCAGTAAGTAGCTCACAACTCGTTCTCTGAATTGTAGAATCATTCTAAACGGTTAAAGTTTGTGGCAGTAGCTTTTCTAAGCAAGCCATGTTTCACTCTGAAAAACTTTTGGGCGTATGCCACTGCAGTAAAGGTGTGTCTCCAAGTTAGATTTAGAACCCTTTGTGATAGGGCATTGTGGGAGTCAAAAGCCCTAAATTTGGAGTCCAGACACATTTATTCATGATTCAGTTTTTCCACTTCCTTTCTGACCATAAGCAAACCACAATACCATTCTATCTTGCTCATTTCTCTCTTTTTTTTTTTCCTTGAAAAAAGTAGGTGTAGCATACGTCTGTCTACCAGTAGTGGTATTTTGAGATTTCATTGATTCCAAAGCAGCACGGACTCTGCAACATTATATAATTATAGGGATCTCTTATTTCTAGTAAGATTTCACAAGGGACTGGTTTTTACATCCTATAAAGATAAATTGCCCTTGAGTAAGGTTCATGTGTGCTTTATTCCACTGTCCCCTATTAAGAGCACAGAGTAAATATTTGCTAAATGGTGGAAAGCTTTTTATCACCTTTAACAAAGGGAATATTCAGGATAAATCTCCGTATGAATGGTTAGTTACTGTAGTGTTTGCCACATTATGTGGGCTGCCTCACAGACTTTCAAGCGAAAACTGGGAGGGAATTCTTGTGTGAGTTTGCCTCTGATCGAAGTGTGGTGTCAGCAGGCATGGTAAGAGAAGAAACCAGAACAGCTCTGGTGGGGCTGAGACATGCTGTTCTCATCAAGCAGCATTTTCATCTTATTTTAAGGTTCTATGGACATTATTTTATATGTGAGAACAATAGAACATATTACGCTCTTTGTAGCCTTGTTTCAGTGCTAACAATAGAATTTACCATACTACTTTCTTTGCGCTTCATCCACATTTGCCAGTCCATCTTTTATGTCGTTTACATTTTGCATGTGGAAAATGAGGTAGGGAGAACATACAGCAAAATAAATAACGTATGGCATCAATTCCTCATTTTGCTGTTATTTCTGATTTATTGAACATAGGAATAATGTCTTCACATTGCTCTGTCCTACTTTTTACTTTTAATTTAAGACAATGATGAAATTTCTTTTTATTCATTAATAGGGTTAATAAAAGCTAGATGAAACTAGCATCTTAGGGTGTTAAAAGATGACTCAATGATTAAGAACATTGGTTGTTCTTCTGGAGGACCCAGATTCAATTGCCAGCACCCACATGTCAGCCCACTCCAGTACTAGGGGATTCGATGCTCTCTTCTGGCTTCCATGGGCAGCAGGCATGCATATATACATAGACATACATTCAAGCAAAATAAAAATAAAAACTTAAGTACTGTATGTAGTCTTTACTAGGTCTTCATTTTGCATTGCTTAGTGTCTACCATGAAATGTTCAGAGTCAAGTGAATACCTTCATCTTTCAGCCTGCCAATGAGTTCTTATTCTATAAGATATACATACCATTTAAGACTATATTAAGAAAGTTCATGTACAGTTTTTAGCTAGTAGAGTACATCTGCTTTCATGATGAGGTCTGAAATCCAAACTATTTTTAGTTAACTACATTCCAAGGTTTAATGCCGCACACAAAGAATGCTCAGAATATATTTATTCACAAGTCATGTCTCCTTGAGAGACAGCGCTTGAAGGAGATGGGCAGGAACTTCTGGGAAACCATTGTGGGTGGTGGTGTGTCTTGATTCAAGTCATTAAGAGACAGCAGGGAGGCGACGAGCTCACAATAGAAGCGTGCTAACCAGGCACAACCTCACCAAGACACAACTCTCTGTGGTTGCTTTTTAAATGTCTATAATGTTGCCAGCAAAAGAATACTGAGACTTACTCTTATTGCGTTAAGTATGAATTGACTATGATGGGCCTGAAGACATGATTCAACAGGTAAAGGCACTTGCCACACAGACTGGCATCCTAAAGTCAATCCCCAGAGCCCATGCGAAGGTAGAGAGCATGAGTAAGGAAGTTGCCCTCTGACCTGTATATGTGTGTGTGGCTTGCCCTCCCCCAACAATACTTTTTTTTTTTTTTTGACATACCTGTGTTAAGGATGTAAGGTTTTTAGCCTGTAGTACAATCTCAATGAACCAGATTTATGTTGCCCAAGTAGCAAAGTGGAAAATAAAGGAGAGAAGTTTAACTTGGATTTAAAGAGTTGTTACTTTGTAAACATACATATTGTTCCAGGTTATATTTTGAAAGCTCATGTGGCACTATCATTACATGAAAAAAATAGAAGTCCTGGGGCTCAACAATTTAAAAATACATTTTAACAGCACATGATAAAATGGTAGAGGAAGGGAGTTATCTTTCTCTACCGAAGGATATGCTAATGAAAGAGTAAGCTTGTTAACTCCCCACATCTTATTAAGCCAAAGTCCTGAAGGAAAACACACAAGCAAAAGAGTTTGTCCTAGTGTTTTCCAAATTTCTCCTGCTGCTGAATTCATCAAAATTTCACAAAGGTAACAGCCCAACAGATACACAAGGCATACAGCCTCTACTTGATCATGACTCTGGCTGCTGATGTCTCTAGTGCTCTCTGGAACATGTAGTCCAAGAGAGGACAACTGTACAGTAAATGAATGGGTGAAGTCAGATGATATCATTTCTATATCTTATATCAATATTGGGAAATATATAGACATTCATTTTTATTGAGGATCCACAACTTCAATATCTTGATTATTTCATTTATATAAACATCCTCAAAATGAAGCACTTTTATTACTCTAGTCAAAAACACTAAAATATAATAATTAGTAAGTTTTAAATGTCAAATTTGCAATTATCATTCAGCCAGTCTTGCCCTCCATCTCCACCACACACACTTTTTAAAAGAATTCATCATTCACTTAGCATATGTGCTGTGCTCCTATCCTGTTTAGGCTATCCTTTAGGTGCCAATGGAAAAAGAGTGTACAGGTGGACAAAGTTGCCTTTCCTTGTGGA